GTGTGTCAGAGTAAATCGTTCGGATTCTTGTGTGTGTATACGTGTGTGTGCCTGTAGCTCCATGGGTTGGTGTGTGTCTGGGCATGGCAAGGCTCAACATTATAACTCTAAGGGGATATGGAGGAGCTAACTGTGAGCCACCCACTTACTCATTGGCATGTGCTGTGGGAAACCTGTGTTTTGTGGTTTTGCAGTGCCCTTGCTTTTTAGCCAGACAGACATGCAGACAACCGTCCCCTCATTAACAAATATAGCACTTACCTCTCTTATGCAAAGCAAATTCAGTGTCAGCTCTGAGACATAGAGCAGCTTTGTGAATCACACGCTCGGCAGCAGGTGCTGAGCTGACAGTTTCAGGAAAGATTGTGAAATTTGATCACAGGGTAGGGAAGTCAGAGCCACCCCTTGAGGACAATAGCAATGGAGACACGAAGGGGAGCCGCCCCTTGAGAGTGACCACAGTAACCGTGTGGCTTAGAAACACTTGCCACGTGCTTGGGACAGAACACTGGGACGGGGGTTGGTGATGTGTTATAGGTTTTTTGCACAGGTACATTGTACTCAGCTGTACCTCAATCTGCTCTAACCTTAGCCACACCCCGGGCAATAAAAGTGCCCTGCATGTACTTGCTGCCAACACACCCACTAGTTCAGGTTGGAATCAGTTCTTAGATCTCTCTGGGACAAATACAGGTCTGAACTTTGCCCTTTGACAGCGCTCCCCCTCACTTTGTAGTATCACTGTGAGTGTTTCATTAGCAGTGCCCCGGTTTCAGTAGGCTAGGGCCTGTCACATCTCTCCTTTCAGAAGATGGATGGTCCCTTTTGGGATTTCTGACCCCCTCTGTGTCCCTGATCCTGCAGCGTCTGCTGGAGCCATTTCCTAGGGGATTCTGATCATGGGTACTCATGTGCTGATGACACTGGGAATACACAACATTACCCCACTTGCCCCTGGGCACCCCATGCTGCATCTTTCTTCTGCCTCTAATGACCTCAAGAACTGTCTTAATACTGCATTTACTTTTGAACAACTCAGCACCTTAAAGATGTAGACACAAAGGAAAGAAGTCAGAGAATCATATGGAGGATTTAAGAGTCTGGAAGGACAGAGTTATTGGGACATACTATAAGAATTAAATATTTATAGCTTAGCTAAACAGCAATTTAGAGGGATATGAAAACCATTTGTAAGAACTGAGAAGAAAAATACAAAACAAACAAACCCACACACCCTCCTGTTCCTGGAAGTGAAGAGGGAATACAGGTCTGTGATAAACCATCTGTTTGGCTTTTTCATTCTGGTAGGCACTCAGATTCCATGGTGATGCGTGTAGTGCAAATACTAAGATTAAATGGATAATATTGGATAGGTCTAAACACAGGGAGGGAAGGTGAATGGTTTAGCATGGTACAAGAGCGCTCTGAAAAAGCTCCATTGTCACAGAAAACAGCTGCCTGACTATTCTATGGGAAAGGAAAATGCAAACCCTTCATCCCTGTCTTCTAGCTATTACATTGGTTCCATACCCAATCAAATTCAAGATCCTGGTCATAATTTTCAAAGCCCTTAGGAGCTGTCAACACAAGGAGTGAGACTGACAGGAGCAGGAACCTGAGCTGTTGTGGCACCTGGCCCCCGGGAGGGAACTCCCTCCATTAATACTCGGACTGACAGTGAAACCTGCCACTTTTAGATGCACACACAGAACTCACCTCTTCATCAAGGGATACCTCTATATTGAGAAAAAAGTGAGTCTCAGCGCCCAGGTTAGCTGACTCGGGTCCGTGCTATGGGGCCATTATTAGCAGTGTAGACACTGCTGCTCAGGCGGGAGCCTGGGCTCTAAGACCCTCCCCCATTGCCAGGTTTCAGAGCCCAGGCTCCAGCCCAAGCTAGAACATCTACAGTGCTATTTTTAGCCCCGTAGTGCGAGCTCCATGAATCAGATGACCCAGACTCTGAGACTCGCTGATGTAGGTTTTTGTTGTTGCAGTATATACATACCTTTAGTCTTCTAATCATGATGATAATAAGTTGGAGAGAAGAAACATTCAGAGGAGTTGGAGTCATGTCTCAGGATAAAATTCATAGGGTGGAGAAATAAATAGGCACCAACATCAAAGCCACCTCCAGATAATAAGATAACTTGGATTCTCAATTTTTCCTGGGTGGATCCCCTGTCTTTCACCACCATGCTGTCTGGCAGAAGGCCTTCAGTCACCAATTTCATCTCAAAATATGGCCCCTCAGGGTTCCTAGCCACATACCTATTGTAGAAGTTTGCTTCACAGTCTTGAACCAGCCCATGAGAAAGCTCTGTCTGCTGCACACACCAGCTTTACCTTTGTGGTACCAAGTCCCATTGTGACCGAGGAGTGGAGATGTCGCCCATAGCCCTCATTCTGGAGCTTTAAGCAATCTTTTAAATATGCTGGTCCCACACCATTGAGCACCTTGCAGGTAGGGATGGAGACCTTGAACTTGACTCAGTATTCTATGGGAAGCCAACATAAAGACCGTCGGCCAGGCTTGATGTGTTCACAGCAGCCTATGTTGCTGAGGAGATGTGTCCTGTTCTAGTTGGAGTTTCCTCCGGATTGATGGCTTTGTGCCAAGGTATGATTGCTGTAGTCCAGATAAGAGGTGACCAAGGCATGTATAACTAAATCCAAGTCATCGTCCGCCAGAATAGGACAGAATGTTCTAGCCAACAAGAGATAGCAGAAAGTGTTACTACATGTGGAAGATGCTTAGCATCAGTGAGGAAGCCAGGAGCACACCAATTATGGGTGTGTATCGCAACCAAAGGAGGCGGTACTGTGGCAGCAAACGCCACAAAGTGCTTTCCTCTGCCCACCAGCACCACCTCCATTTTACTTGGATTCAGCTTCAACCAGCTGTTCTTCATCTATGAGCTGATCTTCTCCAAGCACTGAGCCATCTTGGTGGTAATAGTAGAGTTGTACATCGGGAAGGATAAGTAGAGATGTGTGTCATTTGAGTCATCTACATATTGCTGACACATGTAGGCCCATGTTGGGTTACTGTTTCATCTAGAAGCTGCATGTATGTGCTGAATACAACTGGAGGGAGAATCCTTGCGGGACTCCACAAGTGAGTAGTCCAGTGACAGAGGTGCCGTTTCTCATCAGTACTCTTTGTGTCCCTCTCCAGGAAAGACTTAAGGCATTTTATCACGTACCCCTGGAGCGCTGCTGCTTCTCTTAGGTGAGACAATTGGTTGAGAGTGTATTGGCTCTATATTGCAGAGGGGAGAGAATAGATGTCTGCCCTCCATCCATAGGTAACAGGAAACCATCCATCAGTGCCACTGAAGCTGTTTCCAACTCATGTCCTGGCTTGAATCCAGGCTTCAATTAGATGAGCTTGCAGTTAGCCTTTGGCTAGCTTCTCCATGGACTTGCTCAGGAATGGAAGGTTTGATACAGGATGGTGCATGGCTAGAATCAATGTATACAGAGTGGGTTTCTTCAGTATGGGTAGAATTACTGCATATTTGAAGGAGGAGGAGAAGATTCCTTCTCTGAATAAGGCATTGGCTATTGTAGTCATCTCACACAGGACTACAGAAGTAAATGCACGAGCAAATCATAAACCCTCCCTGTGCAGACTGCCGGGATCTTGGTAGGTGGCATCAAATATTTATTTGTATAAATCTGAATTCTGCCAGATGGCTCAGGTCATCTGACTTCTAACACTGCACACAAATGAAATGGCAGGTCATTAGCAGAACAGGATAAACCTTTTCTAGCCTACGGTTTTAGTGGCACCTGCTCTCCAGCTGGCACATTGTGTACCTGTCGACTGAGACTTGTTTTACCAGCTGGGTGATTAGAATCAAACCTGGAGGGGTGGGAGTGGGGGGAAGGGTGTGCTCTGGAGTGTGTGGTGCAGGAATTCCTGAACAAGGCAGATTTTATGCAAATACATCAGGAGTGTTCTGTGAACCTGTAGCCTGATTTTCCCAAAGACAGGCAAGGAAGTGGCCTGTAAAATGAATCCTGATTTTCCATTTCTCTGTGCTCTTTCCTGCATTAGGTATGGCTTCTGTATGAGACAATGGTTTCTCTCTCAAAAATTTGCAGATAACATTCTGCATTTCCCTACTAATGGCCGTGGTGATTATCATATACTCCCCTCCTCCCAGAGATAAATAGTACTGTCCATCTTCTCTCTAGTGGACATGGTAAATAGAGAGATGAAAGGTAACGTTTTCAGAAGTGCCTATATGACTTTGGGCCAGGCTTTCAAAGGTATTTTGATGCTTAGAGACGCACATAGGCACCTGATGGAATTTTCAAAGGCACCTAAGTAGGTTAGATGCTAAACTCTCATTGATTTCCGTTTCAATGGCTGTTAGGCATCTAACCTGTTTAGGTGCTTTTGAAAATCCCACCAGGTGCCTATGTGCATTGTTAGGTACCTACGCATCTTTGAAAATCTTCCCCTTCGGAATGTGGTAAGTCTCACTGAAAGTCAGTGCATGCTTACGTTCCCACGTCATGTAGGCACTATTGCAATTTGACCTGAAAGCTGAAAACCCAGGGATATTCCATAATTGTTTCCTTGGTGATAAAAGAAATGTTGGTTATGCTGGTTCTGCCGTGGGGAGGGGGGCAAGGGTTTGGGGAGCTAACACGTGCAAGATGGCAGCAGAAAGATTGGTTTGTTACAGAAGAACTAGCCAGAATGTAGGATTTGCATACACATTCTTTAATTCAACCAATACTTTAGGAAACAAGAATTTTCCCATTCTCAGGAGAATGCTAGAGTTCGTGTCATGTTGTTACAGCAGGGGTAGTCAATAGGCGGACCGTGGGCCAAATCCGGACTGCCAGACACTTTTGAATGGACCCCAAAATCTTTTTATGTACTTATTATTATCATTATTGTTGTTGGTTTTTTTTTTTTTTTTTGTTATTTTCTCTGGAGTTTGGACCTTGACTATACCTTGACCAACAAATTTGGACCTTGACAAAAAAATAGACTACCCCTGCACAGTTTTTGAGCCTCCATAAATAGTCATAGGATTGATATTCTAGTGAAAACAGCCTCTTACTTTCAGAAGCTCTTATGAACTTCAACTACAGAGTGAATTTAAAATAAATAAATTACAGAGAAATAGAATGGGCTAGATAGTGTTTTGATTTGTCCATAACTGTTACAATACATACATTGCCGGAGTGCTTGCAGATCACACTTACCGTTTTATGTTCACCATGCCCATGCACAAGCACACATACACAGAGAGGTCTGTACCTACAAACAGAGGTTTCAAACACACACAGTTGCATACACAACATCAGGTGCAAATGTCTCCCTCCAACCTCTTACATACACTTCTCTGTCACATTTCCTTTCCTCTTCTTGCACACTCAAAACAAACACTGAATTTGCAGGCAAAATCTGAGAGTCGATGGATGTGCCTGATACTGGGGAAAATTTCCCACTGGTTCTCGAGAGAGAGGTAGCCTGGGACCCCAGCAAGGGTTGCACAGCACAAGGATATATCTTTTGCATACAGCAGAAGAGTCAGATAATTGTGTTGCTGTTAACATCTGGGTGACTTTGTTTCTAGATGTTGTGTCTGGTCCAGTACATCACCAGAGCTTGAGTAGATGGTGCTGCTGGTCAGAGTGAACAATACTGCTCCATCAGACACCGCTATTGGTTTCATTGTCCATCTGTATTAGTAACAGGAAGCTGCTGACGTGCTGTTTGCCCATACTGGAAATTGATTCAAATCGAACAAGGAGTAGCCCCAGGTGTTTATGGCAAGCATGATTGTCAGGACACCCAAGATGTTGAGAACACTCCCGGCTTTAGCCTAGAATTGTAAAGAAACAGTGTCAATAGTTGAACTAAGTCTGTTTTTTCTTTCCGCTCTGCTGATCAGGAGTAAGGAGTTTGTATGGATGGCTTTTGTGGCTTGATCTTTAGATCCTTATTCTGGCCCCCAGGCTGGGCAGCCATGTCCAGCTGAGGAAGACGGCCTGGGTGGAATGGCTCGGCTTTGTGCTGGGGATATAGAGGCCCAGGTGGGGAAGGGGTTGTAAATTTGGGATCCCTTGATTCCTGTAGCAGTGCGCAGAGCAAAACAAACAGGAATCAAGGGATCGGATTCTGAGTGGAGCCTCTTCGAGGCATACCACGCAGTTCTCAGCCTAGGAGGAGGGAGGCCTGAGGTGACTTTATGCCACCTTTGTGCCTTCCCAATTGTGAGCTGCTCTGAAGGCTGGAGTGGCCCCTGCATAGTGCTGTGGAGCTGCGGCCTCTCCTCCAGCCCACCTCTCCCAGCCCTACCAGCATGGCCCCATAGCAGGTCTTGTGAGGAACCCTCACAGTACAGTCGGTGGCTGTGCTCCTCAGTTCCTGCACTGGGGGCAATTCTCCCCCAGCTTGCGCTGGGAATCTTAGAGCCCCTTTATGCAGCTCTGGGCCTTTTGTCTGTCATAAATTAAACCCAAGAGGTTTAATTTCAATACCACTGTTTTTGCCTGTAGCTGATGCTAAATCACTTAACCCAGACCATTAATCTGGTTTTCTTTCCAAAACCTCATTCACATCAGAGTAAGCTGGGCTCCATATGCTAGCTGTTAAGAAGACTTCGAGTATTTATTTGGATAGGGCTAAGTCTTTTCAGAAGACCTGGAATCTCAGCCACACACTTACGCAGCACTTTCTTGATTTGGCATCTAGATTTGATGTTCACTTTGGGAGGGCAATGCTGCTGCCTTTATATAAATATAAATAAATGGAGATATCCTATCTCCTAGAACTGGAAGGGACCTTGAAAGGTCATCGAGTCCAGCCCCGTGCCTTCACTAGCAGGACCAAGTACTGATTTTTGCCCCAGATCCCTAAGTGGCCCCCTCAAGGATTGAACTCACAACCCTGGGTTTAGCAGGCCAATGCTCAAATCACTGAGCTGTCCCTCCCACCCAATATGTCAATTTGAAAGATGCCCTCCTCTTTCTGTGCTATCATGAGAAAGGCAAGTCCAGCCATGGTGGAATGCACTGAATAACTGGCAGAGACAAACCTCTGAGGCTTTGCCTAAGCCATGCAGAAGATTGTGCAGAAGAGCAGTATGATAGGAACCCTCCTGCCATTACCACAGTTTGTATTTAGTTTATCTGCACAGCTACACACGTCCATTTCCCATCAATTCCCGGGTGCTGTTGGAGCACCCTAAGAAACTCTTTCCATGCAGTGTCTCTGACTGTTTTCTAAGAGCTCAACAGCAGTTCTTGTTCATATGGCTCGGAGTGTACTTCATGGTCCCAGTGACCTATGTTAATGCACAGGTCTAGGCTCTTTATTCCATTTGATTTTAGCAGGGTACAATCCGCTCTGTAATACCTTGTCAAGGAAAAACTAAGACAAAAAAGGAGAAAGGTAAAAAACAGTGTCAGTGAAAATCGGAGGGGTGCCCTGCTGCTCACCATGTCAATAACCTTGAGCTGTCCATAGGAGAAGGCAATGGCATTGGGAGGAGTAGCCACTGGGAGCATGAATGCCAATGATGCGGAGAGTGTGCATGGCAGCATGACGTAGAGCGGATTGAGGCAGATGGCTTGAGCCTGTACAGGAGGTGAGAAGAACGGAGACAGTTTTAATACCAGCAAAGTTCATAGGGAGTCTGGGCCAGAAGAATCTGGCTGTGTTTAGCCGTGACACATGCCCCACCCTTCCCTTTCCCAGACACTCCGGGACACTTTCCGTCCTGCTTCAGAAGCTTCCAGTCACTCCCGCGGTGCTCAGGAAGCAGGAGCTCCTAGTGATCAGCACAGTGGGGCCCTGATCCCGCTACTACTGTAATATAAATTGTTAATCACAATTATCACAGTCCAGTCCAGACTCCGTAAACAAAGGGAAAAAGTCATCAAAGCCCTAAGTCAAGAGCTAAGTAAATGTACCACTTGAAAGAAGAGCCCCCAAGCTCTGAGGGGCAGTGGTTGGGTAAGGGGGAATTTGGCTCTCTTCAGTAAAGAATTACAGGTCATACTGTTCAGTGTCTTATGCAAAATAAGTCTGGTGATTCTTACTCCAGTTCCTGCTGGGGCCAGATTTTCACATCCTAAAACTACCCCCACAGCTGCCACTAATGGTCTCCTTATAGCCACTCTCAGTGGAGCTGCAAAGGTTTGACTAGATTGTGGAGACTGATCTATGCTGTCACCCCTAGAAGTGACCCTGAAGGTCACGATGAGGCACACTGATGTGGTGGTATGGGAAAGTTAACACCGCCATTGCCTTCACTGTGAATAAAAGGACTGCAGTTGCCTGGCCTATCAGTCCTGTTATTTTCACCTGCACACATTATTTTAGAATATATGTAATAAATCTATATCCTAAACCTTATCACGTGATCAAGGGCATGAGCCTGTGGTTGGCTCTGTTAGAGTTTTTGAGTAACTGAGTAGGTTTGTACTTGGAACATGATTGAAGGTTCTTCTACTTTTCCTGCAGAAGCAATCTGAAAAGGTGGCACTTACCATGGAAGCCAGTATAGGAAGGAAGAGGGTGGTGGTAGCCACATTACTGGTGCATTCGGTGAAAGTGGCAATCAGGAGACATAACAGCAAAGCAGTAGCGGGAGATGGGATATTCTGCAAAGGGGTCAGTTTGCTACCTAACCATACAGACAAACCAGATTCCTGAAAGAGAGGGATGGAGAGAGGTCGGTCAGCACAGTGGACATGTCCTTGGGCAAGTGCCATAACGAGCTACACTCAGTAAACATATTTCCCCTGCCAATCCTACTGTCTCACTCAAAGACTGCTCTCTGGAGAAAAGCAGCTAGTCTTTATTCACAGGCAACAGACCTCAAGGGAATGAATAAGACACGCACACTTTTTTCATCCTAACGCCACTGAGAGGGAAAGAATACTGTATTGTCCCTTATTGGTATAAAGGGGTTCTTTCCCATTACACTGTGCAGGGCATTAGTTGTACGTGATCACTACTTGGACCTGTCTCCTGTCCAAATAACAATCTCAGCCCCTCTTTCTGACAGGCCCTTGTTGGTGTCCAGCTGCCAACTTCAATGCAACATAGTCAAAACTGAGTTCTTACTCCTTCTGACCCCTCCTCCTTCCTTTCTCAGTGACTGTAGACAATACCAGCATCTGCCCTGTTACTCAGGCCTGTAAGCTGGACATCAGTTTTGACTTAGCTCTCTCTGTAGACACACACACCCTGACCATGTCTATATCTTGCTGATTCTTCCTGAATAACGTCTCTGTGATCCAGCCTTTCCTCTGTCCACACAGCTAAAATTTTCACACAGTCTCATCTCACATCTTGACTACTATGACCTCCTCCTTTCTGGTCTTGACAAATGCCACCTTGCCCCTCCAGCTCCTCCAAATCCATTAAAAGCATTTCCACTAAGATGATCTTCCTGCCTTGTCACTCTGACCACATCCTCTCACTCTTTGCAGCCTTCCACTGGCTCCCTCTTTCCCACCACATCAAACACAAACAACTTGTCTTCGCCTGTAACTTCCTTCGTGGCCTATCCCTGCTTTATTTATTATCTCTTACACAGCATGGAGCCATCAACCACCTCTTCTGGACCACCAGTGGTGCAAGTCTTTATTTCCTATTCATCAGATTGTTCCATAAACAGTTTCTCCTATGCCACTTCTGATGTATGAGGGTAGTTCCCCATTAACATCTGCACAGTACTACATTATCCTCCTCCAAATCTCTCCTTAAACTTCACCCCTGCTGCAATGCCTACAAAACTCAACAATAACCAGGCTGTTGGTGTACTGCGACCATTGCTTTACTACACTAATCATAATCCTCTCGCTGTTTCCATGTGCTTCACCGCACCATCTGTTTGGTGTAGCCACCCATTGTTTCTTGTGTTATATGAACATCTTTTTGTTATCGGTGTGTGCAATGCCTAGCAAAATAGGATCCTAATCCCTGACTGGGGCTTCTCGTTGTTACCACAAAACAAATTACTATTTGTTAGACATGGTGCTTTCTTACATTCAATTCAATTCAGTATCTCACTGTTCTACATCAATTTCCAACATTTGGTTTCCAAATCTGAGGTGAGAGAGGAACAAGTTGTCCATGGTTGGCCCATCAGTTGCATATATTGCTACTCATGTTCTCCGAATCACAGTGGAAAATGTTTAATATCTTCATTAATGATCTGGAGGATGGTGTGGACTGCACTCTCAGCAAGTTTGCAGATGACACTAAACTAGGAGGTGTGGTAGATACACTAGAGGGTAGGGATCGGATACAGAGGGACCTAGACAAATTAGAGGATTGGGCCAAAAAAAACCTGATGAGGTTCAACAAGGATAAGTGCAGAGTCCTGCACTTAGGACGGAAGAATCCCATGCACTGCTACAGACTAGGGACCGAATGGCTAGGTAGCAGTTCTGCAGAAAAGGACCTAGGGGTCACAGTGGACGAGAAGCTGGATATGAGTCAACAGTGTGCTCTTGTTGCCAAGAAGGCTAACGGCATTTTAGGCTGTATAAGTAGGGGCACTGCCAGCAGATCGAGGAACGTGATCGTTCCCCTTTATTCGACATTGGTGAGGCCTCATCTGGAATACTGTGTCCAGTTTTGGGCCCCACACTACAAGAAGGATGTGGAAAAATTGGAAAGAGTCCAGCGGAGGGCAACAAAAATGATTAGGGGTCTGGAGCACATGACTTATGAGGAGAGGCTGAGGGAACTGGGATTGTTTAGTCTCCAGAAGAGAAGAATGAGGGGGGATTTGATAGCAGCCTTCAACTACCTGAAGGGGGGTTCCAAAGAGGATGGAGCTCGGCTGTTCTCAGTGGTGGCAGATGAGAGAACAAGGAGCAATGGTCTCAAGTTGCAGTGGGGGAGGTCCAGGTTGGATATTAGGAAACACTATTTCACTAGGAGGGTGGTGAAGCACTGGAATGCGTTACCTAGGGAGGTGGTGGAGTCTCCTTCCTTGGAGGTTTTTAAGGCCCGGCTTGACAAAGCCCTGGCTGGGATGATTTAGTTGGGAATTGGTCCTGCTTTGAGCAGGGGGTTGGACTAGATGACCTCTTGAGGTCCCTTCCAACCCTGATATTCTATGATTCTATGATTCTATGAAAAGTCTTCTGACTCTGCACTACGTTCTACCATCTTCCTTCTGTTCTTTTCTATTCCATTTCACAGCCACGCTTGCTAACAAATGTATATGGGGATGCAAGTCACACCTGCTGCACAATTTCTGTTTAATGGGAGGTGTCTGCATCAGGCGGCCTTTAGCCCAGCTGGCTACTAGGTGGCAATGCTGCATTGCACAGATCCAGCACTGAACAGTAAAGAACCTGAAATCGTTTGGAATTCCATCACGGCAGATCTTGCCTGCCTGTGCCTCCTCACACTTGGGCAACACTTGGGCAGCTTGTCATGCCAATAAATCATCATTGACTTGCATTATTTGATGTGTTTGGCCCTTCCCGCATGAGTCCCCTGCTCAGAATCACAGTTAGTTGTTCTGCCTCCCTGGGTAGTGGCTGTGTCACCTGTGCACAGCAGCAGTAGAAACTCAGGAGCGAGCACAAGACGTGTTCTTAATGCTGGTCTCCAGCTGAGAGAATGGGCATTTGGTGCTACTAGAGTGCCCTCTGGTGTTCCACAGGGTGCAAACAAAAATAAAGGGCAAAATAAAACCTTGTCCAGTTAGATAAATGTTTCCGGTAAGCAGACAGATGAAGTTACCTCACTGCCTTTGGCCAGGGCAAAGCCACCTCCCAGCAAAATCACAATGTTCCAGGGCATCTTCTGATTAACCGTCTTCCAGTCCAAGAGAGCAGGGAGCACTGGAATCTTCCTTGTGCTATCTAAAATCCAGAAACAAGCTGTGAGCCACAGGGATGGAGAGCACATCCAGGGGACCATCTCTGCACTCCACTCCCAAGGACAAGGGGAAAGTGTAAGCTACAGCAGCTTTGTGGCATTGGTCCAGCTGTTCCTTTAGTTGCTCTGGTGCACATTGCTCCCCTGACAAACAGCAACAGTGCCCACAATATAGCCCTTCCCTCAGCTCCATGCTCCTAGTGTAGCTGAGAGTTTGTGCTAAAACACGGCAACACTACTAGTGTCTGATGTCTGTGAGATTCCCCACTTCTTGCATTTCCTCCTGGGAGTGGAGAGCTGGAGCAACACGGGATGGGGTCTACTAGACTATGGGATTGTCTCCTAAAGGAAGTGACGGAAGCTTCATCACTTCAAACTTTTGAAACTAGACTAGAGAAAACACTAGTGAGTAAGTCATAGGGAACTCGCCCTCACCCCCAGAAGGTGGAAGAACGGACTAGATGTGTGGGAACATATCCTCAGAGCTGCTAAATATCCCCCCAGGAAATCTTATGTCTCCTCCTTGACTCTCCAGCTTCAGCAGTGATGATTCATGCATATAATGCCCTTTGCTGGGCAAAAAGAACGAGGCGTCCTTGTGGCACCTTAGAGACTAACACATTGATTTGGGCATAAGCGTTCGTGGGCGAGAACCCACTTCATGGGATGCACCAGAAACGGAATCATTCTGTGATCAGCGAAATGCACAGTGGAAAGCATATAATTTCAGTCCTGCAGGAAACCACAAACAGCTCTGAAGATACATCCCCAGCACTGTCCTTTGGCTCCTTGGAATGGTTGAGTGTTTGAAATTCCCCTTGTAAATCCAAGATGCAGGGAAACTTCCTGTGTCCTATTGTAATTTTCTGATGTACTGAGCTAGTTCTTACCTTGTTGTGGCGCTTGCTGAGCCCTATTATGACATAGATAGGTGGGGATCTCTGAAGGGATTAGGAACATCAGAAGTGAAATGAAGATGACAACTGTTGCATCAGTCACATAACTGCAAGAGATTGATCCAGAAATGAGTCTAGTACGTTTGGCGGGGGTATTGAAGGAGCTAGGGCAGCACAATCTGGGGCAAGATTTTACATCTGGATTTGGCATGGTACTGCCGAAAGGCTAGGCCACAGACTATGCAGGATTTATCCAGATGGGAACAGACAGCCAATGTGGTTTGAGCAGGTGAGAAGGCAGGATACTCTCCCGCACGCCCATACTGGATCTCTACTGTTCAGTGTTTGGCTGCTGTTTGGGGGGACAGGAAAAGCAATGATACCTTTTGCCATTCTTGTTGAAGACATTAGTTGCCCAGCCTGGCATGAACCCAGGGTCTCTGGTAAACCAAAGCACCACCAATAATAAGAAGAGGACTGTGACAGCTATCTCTGAAAATCTCATGGGGCCCAGCTTCTTGTGCTCATCCTTGATAATCCTGTAAGCCATTTTCTGCTTTGCCTTCATAGACGCATTAGCTCCGCAACCAAAATTCTTCCGAAAGCTAGAATAAAACAGAGAAGCAGATGTCATAGCAATTCCCTGGGTATCTGCAGCATTTAAAAGAACATACTGAATTAGCATCCAAAGCCTGCATTTCTCGGAGTGCCAAAACCACTATTATTGATTTGTATGACCATAGCGCCTGGGAGCCCTCGTCAGGGACCAGGACCCCATTGTGCTAGGTGCTGCACAGGCACAGAATAAAAAGCCAGTCCCTGTGCCAAAGAGCGTACAGGCTAAATGTGAGACAAAAGACACTAGATGGACAGAGAGAGAGAGAGATGGCGGGAACAAGGAAACAATGAGAAAATGGGCAGCTGTGGTCTCAGTGCACCGTAGGCATTGAGGCAAAGGAGAGTTTTGAGGAGGGATTTGAAGATGGAGAATGAGGAAGCTTTGAGGATGAATATGGACAGATCCTCACCAGTGTGAGGAGCAGCCTGGGAGAAAGCACCAAGGGCCTTGTTTGAACATTTAACAAGTGGGCAATGGAGGCTGACATCACAGGCCCACTGGAGGCAGGAGTTGACATTTCAGTAGTGAATAAAAGATGATAGGTGGGGTCTGTGAAGTGAAAACAAGCAGCTTTTGTACGATGCGACAGAGAAGAGGGGAGCCAGTGGAAGGATTCAAGAAGAGGGAGGACGTGCTTATAGCAACCAGCTGGGAAAGTGATCTTTGCAGCAGCATTCTGAATGGATAGGAGCAGGGCAAGACTGCATTTGTCAAGATGAGAGAGCAGGTTGTTCCGGTAATGGAGATGCGAGATGCTAAGAGTATTAGCTGCGTGGATGGATAGGAACAGTTGCATCTTAGAGATGTCACGCAGAAAGAATCAGCAAGATTTAGACATAGTCTGGATGTGAAGATCTAGTTATTGAAGATGATGCCAAGGTCATGCGCCTGAATGACAGGCAGGCTGGGAACAGGTCATGAGAGACTTTGCCAAGAGTGGTTTCGGTGGAGTGGAAGAGGCAGAAGCCAGATTGGAGAGGGTCTAGGATGGAATTGGAGGAGAGGAACTCAAGATAGTGATTGTAAACAGTGCATTCAATGAGCTTAGAGATGACAGGGAAAAAGGGCAGTAGCTGGAGAGGCAAGTGGGCTCAAAGGTGTTGGGAGAAGGGGGTTAAGATGGGAGAGACAAAAGGTATTGCTACACTTTGGGATGGAGGTGTAATTTCCAGTTTGGGAAGACATTCCCAGACTAGCTCTGATCAGACTAGTGCACTAAAAACAGAAATGTAGCCACAGCAGCACAATGGATAGGAGGGGTTAGGTCCCCTGACTTCATAAGAATGGTATACGGGTCAGAGATGGTCCATCTAGCCCAGTATTCTGTCTTCTGACTGTGGCTGGTGCTAGATGTCTCAGAAGGAATGAGCAGAACTGGGCAGTTATCAAGTGATCCCTCCCCTGTCATCCAGTTGCAGCTTCTGGCAGTCAAAGCTTTAGGGACACCCAGAGCATGGGTTGTGTCCCTGCCCAGCCTAGCGAATAGGGATTGATGGGCCTAGCCTCCATGAACTTACCTAGTTCTTTTTTTAACCCAGTTATACTTTTGGCCTTCACAACATCTCCTGGGAACAAGTTCCAGAGGGTGACTGTGCTTTGTGTGAAGGAATACTTCCTTGTGTTTGTTTTACACCTGCTGCTTATTAATTTCATTCAGTGGCCCCTGATTCTTGTGTTATGAGAAGGAGTAAATAACTCTTCCCTATTCACTTCCTCCATACCAGTCGTGATTTTATAGGCCTCTGTCGTATCCCCCCCTTAGTTGTTGTTTTTCTAAGCTGAACAGTCCCAATCTTTTTACTCTCTCCTCATACAGAATCTATTCCATATCCTGATTCGTTTTTGTTGCTCTTCTTTGTACCTTTTTCAATTCTAATATATCTTTTTCGAAGTGGGGCAACCAGGTGTACCAAGGTGTGGGCGTACCAAGGATTTATATAGTGGCATTATGCTATATGCTTATTATTCAAGCAGGGAATTTCTCTCCATAGAGATTCTATGGTACAGTTTGGTCCATTTAAGATTTTTACTATATTTGACTCTATATTTTCTTTCACATGTAGGGCCACTCCCCCATGAGTGTGAGCATATTTTGTACCTTGGTATTACCGTCTCCCATTGATTGTCATCGTTCCACCAAGTTTCTGTGATGCCTGTTATATCAATATCCTCATTTAATACCAGGCCCTCAAGTTCATCCATCTTAGTATTTAGACTACTAGCATTTGTATACAAGCACTTAAAATGTGTCACTATTTAGTTGTTTGCCTTCATGTGATGGAATTGAATGGGACTCTTTTTTGTTTGACTATTTCTCTGCAGTTCTTACCTGTATGGGTAAGTGGTAAGTGGATTTCCTGGGGAATCCTTGGGGAGTGGATAATACAAATTCTCTGATTATGCAAAACCCTCCTTTTGAAGCTATGTCCAAAGGAGAGGGTGACTGCTGGGTGATTACCAGTTCCTGGAGATTGGAGATCAAAGGCCCCAGCTGTATAAAGAAACAGCTGATCTGCTCAGTCTGAGTGCTGGTTCTGGAACTAAAGACTGTTCTGAACATGTAAACACAGGGAAAATCCTGCTGTGGGGTTTGAGGCAATGACCCCTATGTTGAAGTTGGGAATAACCTCTGGTAAGCTTTTTACCATGCACGTAGTTTCTTTTATTGTATTTATATGCATTCTCTGTAATGCTTTTACATTCAGAATAACTATGCTTGCTTAGAAGGAGCTGAGTGGTAACTTGTAATTGGTCATAGACTTGAAGAGAAAGCAAAGCCCAGGCGCTGACCTTTAGGCAGACTGGCTTGCTAAGGATATCACAGTATAGATCAGGGAGTGTGCAGCCTTAAAACCCCTGGTCAGAAGGGAGTTGGACAAGGATTCCTACCCAGAAACAGGAGATGGCTGGAGACCTGAAACGTGACTGGGAACTCCTGGAGCAGATCACAGAGCAGGGAATACAGGTGTAGTTACTCTTAAACTGTGACAGGATCAATGGCAGAAGCATCAATTTATATTTGTTTCAATGAGCATAAAGTACTTACTCAAATCCCAAGAACATTATCTGGAGCCAAATCCAGGAAAGAGCCAGCAACAGTATCATGGTAGGGAAAGCAAACGTGAACCAGGAAGCGAAGTTCACCACATTGTTATTGCGAGGAAAGAGCCTGGAAGTATAAACAAATGTCACTACAACAACTGCACTCATTTCTGCCTCATAATCTGTGGCCCAGAGAGGAGAGGGGGCTGTGGGGCCAGACCAAAAATGAGCTTGTCCGGGTTCTCCCTTCCTCAGAACAGCGTCAAATTTACTTTTTCCTTCTCTGCTTTGGCTGCAGCTTAGCCCCAGCCCAAGGTTACTACTAACGGACAGCAATTCTGGGGGTGCAGTCCCAAATCCCTCTGTACTCACTCATCCATCTGTCCCTTCATCACCAGGTTGGGGCTAGTACCAGTCAAGGTTGCGATCCCTCCAATACTGGCCGCATAACAAACACAGAGGCTCATTCCCTTGGAAAATGTCAGGTGCTTCTCCTCTTCCAGCTGCTTCACATCTTTCAGTTTCTCCTCCTCCACCACTGTGAGCACATGTCCGTTATCTGGGTGCAGAGGCAGGAACAGGAGAAGAGTTGCACAAGCTGGGCTAGACAGGAATGGGGAAGGTTGTTGTGCCTGCACAACACAGTATTCCCAGTTTAGGAACAACAGGCTATCCCAAGGTGAGGAATGGCATCGAGACATGGTCATTTCAGGGCAGACTTTGGCAGTTCCCTGAGCCTCAGTCCCATTTAATTTTTGCATTGATACAAAATCCCAGGAAAAGTTTTTTTTGAGAACATTGGAATAATACACAAAATGTGGATGTTTGATAACACCACATGGCTACACTAGTAACTGGAATCAGCAATGTCTGAACTTGGGGGAGGGAGTGGGAGAAGAAAACACATTCAGGAACACAGGCAACTGGAGAACAGGCAGCTCATCCCACATCAGGACCTGATTAAGAAAAGCTTGTGATTCAAATTCAAGGACACTTGAGTAGAATCAAGGGGTCAGGAAAGAAGAGGAAGGCTGATAAAGAAAGGGAGCTGCCTGTTCACAAATTCAGAGATTTTAAGGCCAGTAGGAGACCATTGTGATCTTCCAACCTGACCTCCTTAATGAAACAGGCCAGAGAACTGCACACTGCCATCCATGTATCAAGCCCAATAATTTGTGATTGAGGTGCAGTATATTTTTAGAAAGACGACCAACTTGATTTAGGGAATCCAAGTGATGGAGAATTTGATACCTCCCTATGAAAGTTACTCCAGTGATTAATTACCCTCACTTTACATTTGCACCTTATTTCCAGTTTGAATTTTTCTGACTTCAGCTTCCATCAACTGGGTCTTGTTATACCTTTTTTTTTCTAGATTAAAGAGTTCTCTCATTTCAGAAATCTTCTCTGATAGAGTCTGGATGCCACAGACATCTTCCTCCCTTATGAAGTTAAAATTTAGAAGCAGAGATGAATGTTGAGGCCAGAAGCACCTAATGTGGAGATGGAGAAGGCACCTGCATATCCACCATTACTCCTAAAGGAGAAAACACCTACAGCTACGCACCTTGTTTTGGGGTCTCTTGAGAGGCATCTGCTTTATCTGGCACCTCCTGCAGCTCGAAGGCTTTGTTGATGCTCTCAGCCACATGCCCCACTGGACTGGTCTCCTGCTGTGACTCGTGCAGCTGCTGCAGTACAGCTTGGGCTATTGGTATCATCATGGCAGTGGTGGCAGTATTGCTAATCCACATGGACAGGAACGCAGTCACAGACATGAAGCCCATCATTAGCCTGCAATGAAGAAGATTGAGGTGAAGCTCACTTCAGAAGTCAAGGGCGCAAAGTCTTTCCTCAAAGTGCTCCATTACTCCATTTCTCTCCCACCCCACAGACACAAAGAAGGACAAAATTATCTTCAATTCTCTCAATCACTTAATGGCCTGGATTTTGTTTGCATGTAAATTCACCACTAGCCCAGGATTCTTCTCAGGGGAGGAGGGAGGATGAAAGTCAGGGAAGAAGAGGGAGCGAAAAGAGAGGAGAGGTTTCCAGGAGAAAAAGATACATATTGCAACAGTGTGTTTGACAGGATCCATTAGTGACTACACTGAAGACCATTCCATGCTGTGGCTGGAATTCTGTATAGGTTTTATTGTGGTATAAAGACTGTCCTGTCAGCTGCTGTTCCTCTGGGGAAATGCTTTAATTAGTTGTTGACTAGCTAATGTGTCCTGGGCTGGGGTACAGGGCACGGCCAGGGTGAGCATTTCCAGTGGTGGATCTCCTTAGACAGAGAGCTCTCTTTGCTAGGAAACCAAGTACAGTGTCTGCCATTAGCACTAGGGGAGAAGAGCAGCACAGAGCTTTGGCTTGTGATGTACAGTACATCCGACGCCGATCATCATTACAGAATGGTACCAAGGCCATGCATGAGCAGAGGGCCCTTAACACAAGATGAGATGAAGTTTGCCCAGCTGAGCAGATCTGAAATTGGGGTGATAGTGACCTGGGGGAACAGCTATTTGTATAACCCTGTCGCCTGGGAGATAATTTATTTTTGAGCCCAGATAGTGATCAGTTAACATCCTTAAGCTTGAGGATCAATAATCTTTGTAATTGATCCCACCTCTTATCACTGCAGATTCCGTTCTGATTCATATAAAAGTCTAGTCCTCCTTTGGCTCTTACTACGTTATTTTACAGCAACGAGATACACAAGCTGATTACAAATTGTGCACAAAGGTGTTTGGGGTTTTATTTATTTTTATCCTATTGTCTTATAATGTCCTCAAATGTTCCCTTGTTCTTGTGGTATGGGACAAAGTAGATAGGATCATATCGCTTTCTCTGTATATTTTATAGACCTCTGTAATTTTGCCTTACAATTATCATTTCAAAACCAAATTGCCCCTGGTTTTCTAATCTCTTTAAATACAGAGACTCCAGTCCCCACTCCAGGATCGTAATCATTAACACAGTGCTTTTCTATGGTTCTGGTTATGATGTTCCCTTTTTCACTGTCATTTAGCTACATAATGTTAAATATTTCCTATTAAGTCAGTCCTTCCAGCCAGGATATAGAAAGGGGAAGGAAAGAGAGCTGGCTGCAGTACATATCGGAGAATACAGGAGTTCATTACTCGTATCACTCTTCACCCAGGAGACTCCCAAGCCCCACATACCCCTCGGGCTGAAATGGGATGAGAACCAAATGCAAACAAAGGACCTGGATCAAGAAAGCTCTTAAATGATGGACGTTGGCATGTACTTTGGTGCTTTCCTGAATCAGGAACAAAAAGATTTCCAAACTCCTTCCCTGGGTGGAATCTGGTTTTCTCACTGGCCCCCCTTCTTCCTCCTCACACACACTTCTGAGGTTCTCACTCACAGGGCTGGTCTGACCCCAACGATTAACAAGACCCGCAGGGCGATGCGCTTGTGTAGGTTCCAGTGTTCAACAGCAATGGCCACCATCAGCCCCCCAATGAAGAGCATGTTGCTGTCCTTCAGATACTCCATACAGACCTGAAACAGAAAACAGTCAGAGAGAGAATGTTTGCTGAAGGAGGGTCAGAGACACGGTTATGCAGGCTACATGCATCCAATACTACTAATAATTTTCCTTTGGTTTCACTTCCGGAGCTGGACCCAGCATTCATTCCAGGTGGTCAGAGATATTCTTTGTTCTGTGAGCCTTCTCTCTGGGTGCCAGTCATGCAGTTTCCTCCTCCTCAAAACTGCATGTTGGAACCATCCTGTTCCTGTGGACTGACCAGATGAGAGAGACCCAGACACACCGAGACAGAGAGATTGATGGACACACACATAGGTAAGAGCCAGATCTCTTACTTTAGTCGAATCCATTATGTTCATGAGCGGGAATAGCACGACAGGAAAGAGGGCAGTAACACCCAATGGCAGGACTTCCATACACCAGAACAGCGCCATCAGGATGATAACATAACCACATTGGGCTTCCTGAAAGAGAACGCACACAATCAGAGCACACTGCACAGCTGACTGAGACACTAGCCCACAAGCTTATTCATACGTTCTTACTAGGCATTCAGTCAGAGGCCTGCTTCTAGCCTCTTTCTCCCAACTGTGCCACAGGTAGAGAAGGGGAACAGATCCCAGTTATCTGCCTCCTGTCATGGAGAAAAGGGCAAAGCATTCAGTGACCTTGTCAGAGATCTGGGATAGAAATAAGGGGGCAGCATATACAGTGACCTTGTGGAAGAGCCTTTATCGGGAAAGGCAAAACTTATACACTGACTGATTTCTTTTTCTATGGCTTTGAACCCTGCCCAGATAAGAGGCCGGCAGTTCTTAACAGACTCCTTGATTTTGCTGATGGTAGCAACTTCTCCCTGATTTACTTCTGTCTTTGAATGATTGAACAACTCAGTTAGTCATTGGTCCAGTTCACTTTTTCTCCCGGCGTGTTTCATGCAGTGGCCCAGATGAACTTTGATTGGTTTCCGCAGCCTTGATTTCTAGCATTGTAAATCATTATATATTTACTTTTCATTTGATTTTTCACAACTAGCCACAGCCTTTGCACAGGCTACTTGACAAACTATAATCACAGTTCAACCTCCGTTCCTAATCACTGGGATTGCTTTTTTTTATTTTGTATTGTTGTAAAATGCCCTTTGCAATCCACAAAATTATCCAAAAGCTTCTTCCTTCCCCACGGTGAAACAATCCCAATGTTTGTATCCTACCCTTTCTCCAGGGGATTTTGGCTTACTTGTGCTCTGGACAATTCCAGCTTCTGAATTAAACATATTGACTTCATGACAAGACTTCGGGGTGATCTGAAATAGCACGTTGCATGGGGGTTCTTTCCTGGGGGTGGGATAACGCAGAGAGGAAGAGACCATGGGCTGCAGGGTGCCCTCTCCAGACGAGGGGTCTGATTTACCAGTGCGTTACTCCAGTTTTTATGACAACATGCCTACATTTATTTCAGTGTAGTTCCTCAGGTGGTAACACAATGGTGACTCAGGCCTTGTGCTGGGGACTGAGGGGAGGTGGCTTACATCTCCCTCATTCTGCGACTGGCACAGAAGTGTGGGTCAATGCTGGAAAGCGTGACTAGCAGGAAGTTTGCAGAGGGATTTGAAGGGGGAAAGAGTTCTGTGGAATCTGGAATCAAGGAGATAATTTCAAACCTATCTGGCAGTGTGGGAGACAGCACAGCGATCTTCTGGCGAATGCTCTAAAGGGAGTGGGATGGACTGGTCTGAGCACAGGGACCAAGTGGATGAATAGCACTAGACCAGAGCTGAGAAGCAGGCACGGACAGACCCATGAAGACCCAGGAAAGCAAGAGGCAAGCATGACTATGGCATGGAAAGAGATGGAGAGCTTGTGACATGGAAGGATGAAAGGTGAGAATGAGTAGGCCGGAGAGTAGAAAGTTGCAGTACTTTAGGTAGAGATTACCAGGTCCTGGATAAGGGTTTCAGCAGTAGGAATGGGGGGGAAGAGATGGATTTCTGAAGAGAGGAAAGGATGGATTTTGGCCCCCCATATTCAGTGGCAACCACAGAAACTTTAAAAAGTGCAGTTCCCTAGTTAAATATTCCATCAAGCCGAACATTAATTGGAGTTTCCCAATGTTGATTAATCCATCTCTCCCATTTAGTGTTCCCGTGAGAAGCCACTGGGTTCTCTTGGCAAAGCTGTCAGTGAGAATCCCTGGCAAGTCCTGGGATGCTGGCACAGTCCACCTGCACAGGGTCACCTCCAATAAAGCTGGTCAGGAACACAGCGACAGGAAAGGGGGCGTATGGGGGGGGGCCTAATAATATTTCACATTGTACGGCTCCGACCCAAAGACAGTGAAGAATTCAGTGATTATGGGCCTTGGTTTAGACTCTCTCCTCAGAACAGTCCCCCACATCCTACTCCATTGGGATTTATAAAAATGAAAAATATAAACTGTCTGGAGGCCTGGAAAAGGGATATCAGTGCTATTGGCAACCAGTAGGGTCATCAGTTATCCCCAGGGACAGAGATACTTCTTTCTCCATTCACACACCCTCCTCTCTAGATCTTGCACATCCTGCTACTGCTCCGAATCCTTTTCATGCTCCAGGGGACCCCGTGACCACCAGGCTGGCATTCAGGATATAATCCTTTGAGATGTGTGTGAGAGACAGACAGAGAGAGGTGAAAGTTTACACCCTCCTTCGAAGTCAAAGCTGGTTATCAGATTAGATGGACTAGTGAAGCTCCAGGCATCAGGCTCCACTCGGTGGCTGGCTTTCTGTGAGGTGTTGATTATTTGTCTTTTTATCTTTGTCAATTTCTCCTTCCTTTGGCTTTAGACAAAGCCTTTATAATTCTGTTTGTTTTACCCTTGTTCACGCAACAGTTTATCTCAGGGCCCCATCCATATCTCCCAATGGAGCAAGTTAATTACTAGAGAAGGTATGCTGGTTAATTGTGAGGGATCAGACATCTCAGTGTGGCATGATGTGTCCTGCCCTTTCCCCTTGTTTTTGTTTTTTTTTAACTTTTAGTGTAAGGTGTCAGCTTGACAGCCCTGTACACTGAAGATGCACTGCTGGGCCAACGTAAGAGTGCAAGCTTCTTCCATATGGCCCAGCAGTGTGCCCAATCTTAACCTGTAAAGGCCATGTTTAGACTTGGAGCGTCAGAAATATTCTGTCTCTCTCCATGGCCTAGTCAGTTCTTGGCCTCTGCTGAACACCAGAGAGATGGCAGTTGGTGCCCTTTGTGACACTGAATTGAGATCCACCAAATCTTTCCACAAGAGACCTGATAAAATGGTAACTACCAGGCACTACCAACTTTGGCTGGGTTTGAAGCCGTGACTTAGTAGTGAAAAGTTCTGGATCCCACTCCCCAGCCACATAAGCAGTTATCTGAGTTAAGTCCCATTTAATTTCAGTAACTACTTTTTTTTGCTACTTCTCTTTACACTGTTAGAAAAACGTTTACGTAGTCATGTATTATGTGTCTTCTTTCCATTATACTTTTACATCTTTGTGTCTTATACTGTCCCAGAGCAGGGATCCCCCAGACTGCAGGGAGCACTGCTTTGTCTATATTTATACAGTGCCTAACACAACGGGGCCCAGACCCCAACTGGGCCTCTGGGGGCTACTGCAATGCAAATAATAACAATCAAAAATCTTGGCATGCAAATGACTGAGAAATCAGACCTACTGAATACTTGCTGACAAACCATGATTCAGTTAGTTGAGGTTGTAAATAGCTATTACTGTAATACTAATAAGAAAAATAAAGCATTATTAAAATACTACAATTATATATAAATAGCTGAAAGTTAAGGTTCCTCATGCCCTGAACTCTGACCCTGTATCCTGACCACCTGTTCTCTGCAGAGGCACCTGAATCATGTCAGAGGATTACATGTATATGGGATATTCTACTGAGTCCATATTTTGGAGAGTAAAGGATGCAGACTGGCTCTTTGACCAAAATTTGCGAACGTGACAAGTGATTTTGAGTGAGATGTTCAAGGGGCATGATTTTCAGAGAGAGCTGAGTGCCTGTCTTCAGAAAATCAGGCTCCATTGAGGTGTCTCAGGTTGGACATCCAAAAACTTTAATCGGAGAGGGTGCAGAAAAGAGCCACAAAAATTATTTGAGGGCTGGAGGAAATGCCTTACACAGGGAGAGACTTAAAGAGATCAAGCTGTTTAGTTGATCAAAACAAAGATTGAGAGGTGTCTGGATTACAGTTCATAAATACGTTCATGGGGAGAAACTACCAGATACTAAAGGGCTCTTCAATCTAGCAGAGAAAGGCAGAACAAGTACCAGTGGCTGGAAGCTGAAGCCAGACAAATTCAAATTAGAAATAAGGCATACATTTTTAACAGTTGAGGGTGATTAACCATTGGAACAAGCTACTCAGGTAAACGGTAGATTCTCCCTCTCTTGATACCTTCAAATCAAGACTAGATACATTTCTGTAAGATATGTTTTAGTCAAACACAAGTCATTGATCTCAGTACAGCGGTAACTAGATGAAATTTAATGGCCTGTGATATACAGGAGGTCATTAGATGATCTAATGGTTCCTTCTGGCATTAAACTCTATGAATCTATCATCACTTTTGAAATGCTTGGCTATAGGCAGAGCCCCTTGTACTCTGTGGCATGAGGGGACCAAATTCTGAAGCAATGTTAATCTAGTCTATTGCCATGAAATACCTTTCATTCCCATTTCCCTCATCACAACCTCCCCTACTCACACACAACTATGGCTCATTGTTGAAAATACTCTTTGTGTAAAAATTGTGAATGATTGTTTTTGGCAGAAATTATTTTTCAAGGACAGGTTTGTCACTCTGCTTTCCAGCCCAGCTCCACTCCCTGGGCTTTGGTTCCCTTCATGATGCCTAGGTGGTCTGGCTAAGGAACTCCTTCCCATCATGTGTGCCAGGAAAGGAGGGGAGCTTGTCGCCAGTTGCAGCAGCTTACTGGGCCTCTTCTGTTGCATCTTTCTCCAGGCTGGCCAGCCTATATTTCTGGCTGCCCCCACCTCACTGCAAGCTGAACTTCAGGTCTGG